GGGGTTCACACTTCATGTGTTTGATTTGTTTCAAATTTTTAGGGTGTATGCATAAACATAAATCAAAAGTAAATATGAAACTTGAGCTTGATTAATACATTTTTAAAAACTTTACAGCACAAAAACACACACAAATCGATTTAATAGTTTTCAAAATATATTGAGAACGGGGCGAGGAACAAATTTGAAAAAAATCTCACACACACACATCAAAATTCTCTATGAAAAGAAATATTTTTAAATTATTAAAATTTGTTTTTCTTGGAACATTTTTCACATAAACATTTTTTGATAGAAAAAATTAGTTTTTGAAAATATGACATCTCAAAAAAATTAAAAAAACCACAATTTTTTTTATCAAAAAATTTGTGTGTGAAAAATTTTTCAAGTAAAAAAAAAATTTTAATATTTCTTTTCATAGAAAATTTTGATGTATGTGTGTGAGATTTTTTTCAAATTTTTTCCTCACACCGTTCTCGAGATATTTGGAAGACTATTCAATCGATTTGTTTTTGTTTTTGTGCCGTAAAGTTTTTAGAAATGTATTAATCAAGCTCAAATTTCATATTTATTTATTATTTATGTTTATGCATCAACTCTATAAATTTTAAACAAATCAAACACATGAAGTGTGAACCCCGTCCGTGTTCGTATGGAACGCCCCATATACATATGGGAAAATCTTTATGAGACGGGCACTTTTCAATTATAATTTTTTTTTTCAACATAGTAGCACAATTTTTTTTCATAAATGATCACTTATCAACCGAATTGAAGTACAGTATAACGCGTGTAACTAATATTTTTTAATTGCAACTCTATTTAAAACATATTTTCAAAATTGTTTTCTATTAGCCCGGTCAAGTTAGATTTTCATGGTTGCAGTAACTCGCATAAAGCTCAAAATTGGTACGAATGTTACGAATGTTTTTATAAATAAAACGTGAAAAGTCCTTATCGATCCCAGATCTGTAAAAAAAACATATTCAAGGTCAAAAGTCCATAAATTGATGTTTATAATTTTGCAGACAACCGTAAGGTTTATCATAAAAATAGGTAAGACAAAAGTGTAGATCATGCAATTTTCTCTAAAACCCGTTATAACACTTTTTTGTCCTAAGAGTCACCATTTCTGGGATATAACGACTCAATCGACATCTATTTTATAAAAATTCGTTTAACTTATAAAATACTTTGAATTGATGTTAATTTTTTCACAGGTGGTAGTATAAAAAATTCTGTCTGTATGGCAGGTACCACGGGCCTTTCCCAAGAACCCACATTTTTTCCATGGTTATAGAATTGATTTCATATATCTCCATACCAAGTTCCAGTACTCTACCACAATACTTCCAGAGGTATGCAGTATGTAAAATTCAGTTTCAATGGGGGGTGCCATGCCCCTTTGTTTAGTCGGGATAAAAGCTACCCTATCTTTTAAGTTGAGCTAAATGCCACCAGTTTTCTAAATTTCATTAAGATCGGTTGAGTAGTTAAAGCGTGAAAGCGTAACAAATAAACCTTTCGCATTTATATCAGTAAAGATTATCCAGTACTGAAAAAGTAAAATAATTTTTAGAGGTGAGCATTTTTCACACAGACCCAGATTCACAAACCCAAAATATTATACCAGGGCTTATGAATTTTTTCGCCCTTGATTGGTTGTGCTCAACGAAAAACCAATATCAGGTAAAAAATTACGCACTGATCACGCGTTTTCTCAAGAAGATTTTGCAGCAATGAAAAGTAGCACATTGTCCTTTAACCTAGGATTCTTCTTCTGAAGAATTGAAAAAGTATATTTTATACCCAAAAATGTAAAATAAGTATCGCTCAACGACTACCACAAGAAAATTCACGTTTTTATAAAATACGCGAAATTCAGTTACAGTTGTGAGCAGCATTTTTTTATCGCATTTGGTAACTGGCACATTTGTTGAATACCTGTCATTTTATTCCACAGAACCTACAAAATGTCTGAAAACCCCGAGCTTAATAAATAAATAAATTTTGTGCGAGTTGCATTAGAAATTTCCTGATTTTTTCGATTTTAGCAAGTAAACTGGTCATTTAAACCGTTAGTTTTGTTTTTAATAACTACCCTGAAAGAACAGTGACTATCATTTGACAAATCATTTGAGTGGCAAGACTGATAAAGATTTCTGTCACTGGCTACCTACACGTTTCTATCAAATTCTAAAGGGCAGTGTGAAAAATCTGATGTAAACATTTGTGTTCCGTCTTCCTCCGACTTATGGCATTATTTAGTTGTCTCTTTTTAACCAACGCAAAATTTGTATATGTGTTAGTAAGGTAAATGAGAATGTGTTAGTTTCCATCACACAATTCTTGTAGGGTATTTATTGATATTTACACATATACATAAGTATTGTTAACGAAGGTATACCCACCCAGCATTTTCTGAAATTATTGATCATATTCGAATCTTTTTTGAGTCCTCTCCGCGATTAAAATAATCATAAATGCGCTCATATTCTGATCATAAAAGACTCTTTTGTCATTAGAAAGTGGTACCCTGGCCGCGACTCTTCTTGACGAGTCTTTTACTTCCCACTTTTCTGACCATTTTTGACACTTTTTCGAGTCGTATTTACAATCATTTCTGAGTCTCGTGCGAATAACTTTTCAGGCGTATTTCTAAACACTTTCGAGTCTTCCTCGAGTAATTAATAAGCTCTATTTCTAATCGTTTTCGAGTCTTTTACTAGTCATTTTTCAGTTGCATTTCTAATCTTTTGAGAGTCATTTTTTAGGCCTATTTGTAAGCTTTTGTGAGCCTTTTTCGAGTCATTTTTCAGTTGTAACTCAAATCACTTGCGACTCTTTTCCCAGTCATTTTTTAGTCGTATTTCTAAACATTTTCGAGTCTTTTTCAAGTCCTTTTCAGTCTATTTTCAAATCGTTTGTTAATTTAACATTAAATTAATTTATAATTAGCAAATCAGCATACATATTTTATTGAGTTCAAAAACGCGATAATGAAATAACAAAATTTTTTTTTAAGAAATCCATTATTAGAGTTGAAGGTCCATTATTAGAGTTAAAAGCATTGTGAAAAAGTTTTGGCACAGAGAACTTTTCACCATGTATGCAAGGTTTTTTATTCTAATTTGTTTTCGCAATCTTTTTATAAAAACATAGCTCATATTACAACAAAAATATAAAATTAAACTTTCAAAACTTTGTGCATAACTCAGGAAAATTCTACAAATTTGAAACTTTTTAAATAGATTTTGTAATAAATCGCGTTGATGTGGCATTTTTTTCGCAGAGTGTCTTCCATACAAAGTATGCTCACCATTTTTTATACGGAAGACACGTCAGAAAAAAATTGGTAAATGTGTATAAAAGTTAAAAATACTTAAATTAAAAAATCCATTTTATCTATTGCGCGAGTTCTTCGCCGTTTTTTCTTCCAGTGATCTCGTTAGTTTTCGTTTTGCTAACCTGTCTTTAGCATGCACAAAATGCTTTTGTAGCACACCGTTCATTTCTTGATCTGTGCTTTTGTATTTTAGATGGCAAATATCTAAGATGACAAATATTAATTTTGTTTTGTCAAAATATGGGTACATCGCCGCACAAAACTATTGGCCCAGGGAATTTTTCATAATGCAAGAAAAATTTATAAAAAAAATTGCGTTGTTTTTTCTCGCAGTTTCTTCCATGTTCGAAATTTTTTTTGTATGGAAGAAACTGCGTGAAAAAAATGGCAAAAACCATTGCGATTTTTTGGAAATTTCAAATTTACATTTCTTTACCTACTAAAATTGAATGGGTTAAACAATTGCATACTTAGAATTTTTCTAGAGATATTAACTAAATTTTTAAAAGTTGAAAATATGTATGCAATTTTATTGACTTTTTCTGAGTTTTCCGCAAAATTTAGAGACTTGGTTTTCTGCTTTTTGTTGTTGCATGAACTATATTTTTATAAAAATTTAGCGGAAAAACTTAAATTAAAAAATTTAGATGTATTGTGCAACGATTTCACGTCATCCCTTGCCAATTTTGGTTTGGAGACAACCGGTTTCGGCGTTATGTCATCTACAGTGTCTTCTTCGAAATATAACACTGAAGATGCATAACGCCAAAACCGGTTTGACTCTAAACCAAAAATTGACTAGGGATGACGGAAAATCGTTTAACAATACGTCATATTCCTACCCTGTCGAAAAAAAACAACCAAAACTAAAATTTTCCACATATTGTGAAAAATTCCCTGTGCCGATAATTTTGTGCGACACTGTACCTACTTTTAATCGTTGTTATTAGAAAGAACTTTTCGGCGCTTGGCTTAGTGCGGGTCCCCTTCCAGCTGTAAGCAGAAGCCAATTCGTCACAAAATACTTTTCGGACTGCGGTTCTTAGAAATTTTGCGGGTCCGTCACCGCCTGTTTTTGCTATGAATTCTTTCTGAAATTTTTTATAAAAATACATGTATAACCATATTCATATAAAAAGTTAAATAAAAAACATACAAATTGCTTAAGAGTGCCTTCATTGTGTTGTATCTCGCTATCCAATTTTTCTAAACCAGCAATAGCGGCCAAAGGAAGTTTTAGTTTTGTTTGTTTTGACATAGGCTTAAAAAATTATGCTGTTAGAAGCAAAAGCAGCTGAAACAAATGTTTGTTTAAACAAGCAAAGAAAAAAGCACATTTCAATCCCCAGAATGATCAATTTGTGATTGCCCTTTTTTTTTTAAATATATTTTCAATAAATCATTTTTCAAGCGTAAGCGTGAGTCATTTTCGGGTCTTTTTTTAATCGCGGAAGCGATTAATCAGTTTTTAATCATCAGAAGTGATCGAAGAAGACTCATAAAGGTGATTTTTATTAAAGTAATCTTCCAAATGCTATGTGGGTAGAAACCGCACTTGGCAGTGTAGCTGCTTTGTGGTGGCAACAATATGCCAGTACGCAAAATGTCCCCGTCTCAAAAGATTTCCCCATATGTGCACTTATGCTCATTGCAGATTACACTAGGAGCTGCAATCAACCAATTGGATGCCAAAAAGTTCATCGCTGATGCCAGCTCGCGTTATTACAAGCTATACAATCAAATTGCTGAGGAAACGTATACCTCCTTAGATGATGAGGATTTCGAAACAATTTTCTCCAAACTGACTACCGTAAAGAGAATTGCTGCTGAACTAGTTAAAATCTCCGAAGAGGCTGGGGAATTTGATTTGGAGAATATTTCCGACGAGGAAGTTAAAGCAGCGTTGCAAAATCTTCGTAGGGCTGGCGGACTTTTTGTCTTAGGAGAGGATTACTTCTCGTCGGTGCTGATAAACTTTGCAGCTCTTAAAGAACTTTCAACAGATAGAGATATTGAACCTTATTTGGGCGGCGCTAATATGCCTGATCAAGACGGTAGTCCTCTGGCCTACTATCCTGATATTCAAAAGATTTTTCAGCAAAGCAATGATTCAGGGGAACTGAAATATTATTGGGAGTCTTGGCGAGAAAAGAATCTGGTGTGGTCTTCTGTAAATTTTTATACCATCGTTGAAGCTTTCCAAAAATCTGCCAAGATCTTAGGTAGTTTTCCCTATACACCGCGCTCATATTCTCGAAATTATGTTATTATTTTTTATACATGCAGATATCCCGGTGCTTGAGTTCTGGTTTCGCTGCTACAACAATAAAGAATTTTTGCAAGAGATGGACAAAGTGATGGAAGAAATTAAACCAGCATATAAGCAGCTACACGCATTCGTTAGAAGAGAGCTCTATACAAAGTATGGGGCAGAGGTTGTCAACCCTAGAGGGCCAATTCCAGACCATTTATTCCAACAAGTACGTGAGCAAGCGTGGCAGGCCAGCAGTGTTATCGAACCGTATTTTCCAAAGAAAACCCTTCCACCCTATGACAGCTTTGTCCAACATTTCGACCCAAAAGAAATAATAGACACAGCAGGAACCTTCTATACATCTCTTGGTTTCAAAGAGTTGCCGAGCACGTTTTATCAACAACAATTGAAAGAGCAAGACGAAAGTGCTGAGAGTGGGGATTGCAGAGCTGACATTTTCGATTTGACCCCACATGTTTACATGAAGTACTGCAAGAAAGTGGATTTCAGAAAGTTTTTGCAGAATCACGGATATTTAGGACGGGTTCATTACGCTAAAGAAAAGGATAATCTACCATCGTACTTCTTCAGCTCTTATGATTTGGAGTACCCAGTGGGGGAAGCTGTTATTTTATCAGCGTCAACTCCAAAACATCTTCAAACTATCGGACTTTCCAAAGATTTTCAGTTTTCAGATCCCGTTTTAATGAATCGCCTTTTCAGAATGGTAGGTTTACAGCCAGTTTCACGAAAGCGATTTAAGTGAATAATTTTTATTTTAATTTAATATGAAAACTGACAGAAAAAATCCTTTTTCACTTAAATTGTTTTCGTGAAATCGACAGTTATTATTAGATATGTTAGTAGGTATATATTTTTTGAAGATTCAATAATGCAGATTATTCTACGCCGCAACTCCGTCGCGAATGTATACAGAAGGATTATATTTGCCTCATAAACTAAGCCGCTAATCAGCTGACTTTGATAAAATGCCCTCCGTTCAGAAATGCATCAAGCCAGAGCATCAGTCTTTTTTACTTCTAAAATATAAGTGATAGAAATATGTCATTTGCGCAACTAAGCTCCAATACGGTATTTAACCGTGGTTGTGTATAGAAATAAAAGAGGAGATGCTGTGGCTTGATGCATTTCTGAACAGATACATACTTTTTTAAGTCAATAAATTTATTTCATTTTAGAAACGTAAGAAAAGTTTTCTTAATAATAAATAATAGTAAAGCAATTGGATGTATCAAAATAGACGTAGTTCATTAGTTTAATATAGTGAAAGGGCTTGAATAATTGACCAAAAAATTTCCGATAATCTAAATATTATAAATTTTTCATTGCTTTAGGGCATTCACACTTTGCTCAACATTCCGTTGTACTTCGTACACACAAAAGTAATGAACGATCTGTTTAATGGTACAGTGGAAATTGAAAGGATAAACAAGCATTATTGGGAACTGATGGAAAAATATGCCGGCGTTGAGCCACCTTCAGATAGGTCCGAAAATGCTATAGATTTCCCTTATAGTTTTTATATGGATATGGAGCAAAACCATCAAACCAAGTATGTATTGGTGTGCATTTAGTTATGCCGCTTGTATGTATGTACAGTATGCCCTCGATAAAAACAACACGTAAAAATTCGGGCAATAACCGAGTCACAAAAAGTTGATCATGAAAGGAAATTTCAACCTAAAAAAGATGCAATTACCGCGTGACTAATGGCTGTGGCTTTAACAGAGGGCGTACTGTATATACAAATATATTGTATTTAGAAATTTTATTCAACAGAAAGTTCGTGTCCGAAGTTCTGGGATACCAATTTTACCGTGCGTTTTGCCGAGCGAGTCAACACAGAGGTTCTTTACATAACTGCGACTTTTACGACAATGTCGCAATCGGCGAAGCCCTGAAGTAAAAATGTCTCACTAATAATTCTTCATGAAATAACTCGATTTTCGCATACTTTTAGGACAATGATGTCTCTGGGTTCTTCAAAACCATTGCCCGAAACTCTGTCGAAGATGCTAGGTAACGAAAACCGACTTAGCGGTGACGCCCTACTTGATTATTATGCGCCTTTGTTGGACTGGTTGAAGACAAAAAATCGTGAATCGAATGTCAAAATCGGCTGGAATCCAAGTCAAAAAAGTAAGATTATTAGAATGTACGAAGTAGGGGTATTGTAGTTATGTGCATAACTTGGTATAAAAATTACAACTTTTCTCATATTCTAGAAATCCTTTAACCTACATTTGGAAGAATCTAACCATATTTAAATTTATGTGCACCTGTATGGATAAGAGATAAAAGTTATTGCTCCTGAAAAAGACGTAAGCAGACTATCATGGCAATTTGCATGGCAGAGAATAACAAAGAAACAAAATAGCTTCCATATAAATAAATAAAAATTTTGAAATCACATGTAGAAAGAAACATGTTGTTCACCTACCGTACTATGTATTCAAAAATCGGCTGACTTTGTTATCGTCCATTAAAGGATATGTATGTACATACATGTATATGTATGTGTCGCAGTCAAGATACGAAAAATACAAACATTTTAAATAGCATTTCCCTGCAAAAAATGCGACTAATCCGGGATGACTCCGGGAGCAATCGC